TCATCACAAGTCAATTCATTTCATCACCAATTCCATTTCCAATGTCCATCACAAGTCAATTCATTTCATCACCAATTCCATCATAAGTCAATTTATTTCATCACCAATTCCATTTCCAATTCCATCATAAGTCAATTTATTTCATCACCAATTCCATTTCCAATTCCATCATAAGTCAATTCATTTCATCACCAATTCCATTACAAGTCAATTCACTTCATCACCAATTCTATCAAAATTCAATTAACATATAATTACCAATTCCATCAAAATTCAATTAACATATAATCACCAATTCCATCACAAGTCAATTCATTTCATCACCAATTCCATTTCCAATTCCATCACAAGTCAATTCATTTCATCACCAATTCCATCACAAGTCAATTTATTTCATCACCAATTCCATTTCCAATTCCATCACAAGTCAATTTATTTCATCACCAATTCCATTTCCAATTCCATCATAAGTCAATTCATTTCATCACCAATTCCATTACAAGTCAATTCACTTCATCACCAATTCCATCAAAATTCAATTCACTTCATCACCAAATCCTTCAAAATTCAACTCACCCCAATATGGTTTACCATATAATATGTATATTATTATAAATAAATAAATAAAAAATGTTAAGGTACATAATAATGATATTTCAAAATGAACATCAGACTTACAGTTCGACTATGAAAATGGATGATCTTATACGAGAAAAGGCGAAGTCGAAAGCCATCTCGAATTTGGACACGTTTCAAATATTTTAGTTTATTTCAGAAAAAACACATTTCCATGCGATTTCTACATTTATTGCCAAAGTTCTGAAAACTCTCCAAGTAGAACAGATGAAAGTGGTTTGCATTCGTTTCTAAATAAAGACCAAATGAAAAACTTTATTGAGTTTCGTTAGGCATTCGTGAGGAGAGATAACTATTTGGGTTACATTTCCTTCAATAATGTTGACAATAAAACCAAACTTATTCTTGGCAAGTTTCTTACAATGAAACCATAATTGATTCATATTTTGCAGACTATTTATTTTAAAAATCCAGATTATTGATTTTAAGTGAATTATTGGGCTGTAATACCTCTTTAACTGTCTAGGTGTCAAGATATTGATCAGAATATGCCTTATAGTGACCTTATAAAAACCAAATGGCTTAAACCAAATGTCAGATGATCTTAGTAGAAAAATATCACGAGAAGATTTCTCATGTATATTTATTCTAAATAGCCTGCAGGGATTTTATTATATGTCATTATAAAAAGACAGCTGACTGAAATATCTTAGTCCTATTAGGTCAATTATTTCTTAGTTTTTTATGAAAAACTTGAAATGTGCAGATGAACCATTGAAATACATTAAGAGAAAAAATCCGTACAATCAAGACTATTTCTTCAATCAAAATTTCGTCCAAAGCTTGGCAAAATCGAGAGTAAAAGTTTTGCATAGTAGTGGATTCCTCCAAAGAGAATTACCATTAGGTGTTTCTAAGTTAGTAAACATTTTTGTTTCATCCGGTTGCTATAAATAAATCTGCAACATGAAAGAATGGTGGCCTTACGATGTTAAGGTTCAGAAATGAATGTCTTTTTGTTAAAAACAAGATTTTATGGATACCACTGGAATTGTGAAGATTAAAGCTGTTGTTGATATTCAAATCAGAATACCTAACCCAAAAGAATGTGAGTTTTCAACGACCCTTAAAAACTATGTAATTGCATATTGTACTGAAAGAGTTATAGCGGTATATAATTATCGAGAAAGTTATAAAATGTCAAATGTCTACATAATAACATTTCTTCCTGTATATAAAACTAAATTGTGAAATAGAGTTGATATTGTCATGCACGCCGTTTACATCTCTGTAATTTGTGGTTCCGCACAGTCTGGTTTTGTAATGACTTTTAGAAATGACATTTTACTTATTTTGGAATTGATAACATGAACATCTAGGAAATGTAGACGAATTACAAATATTTATCTATGATTTCATAAGTACGCATGTTGACAAAACCTCTTTTGCCATAGTTTTTTTTTTTTTTTTTGCAAACTATCGAGAGCTACCAGTTGTCCGTTCGGAACTGTTCTTACGTCATTGTCTTTGTTTTGATATATGTTACCTTTAATATGATCTTTTAAAAGTGAGAAAAAAAAATTTAACATCCGTTCTACGTTATTTTTCACTGAATCAAGGGCGATAACTCAAAGTGATATTGCTTATAAAATGTTTTTCATAAATATGCTTCAAGTTATTAATGTTTTCCTAGAAAGGGCTCTTCTAAAGGGACCACACAAAAATTAATCACAATGAGTTGACGTTATACTAAGTTATGTTAAGAGCAATAACTCTTACTGAATTCATGAAAGGATAGATAAAGGGAAGCTGGATCAATCACGAGCTAGGCTTGTTGTTATTTTTCACTATTTCAAGAAAGGGGGGGGGGGGGGGACTTTAGTGACCTTGCGCCTCAATTTTTCAAAAACCTTAATCCCAAGTTATCGTTAGCTACTATAACGGTCCCATTAAAGGGTGAGCAAACTGTAAATGACAAATTTTATCTATATATCCCTGAAGGAGGGATTTATATCATTATCTGCCCAAACCACTTTTTATTATAAAACCTACATTGATCTCAGTATAAATAGAAGAATTTTGATAAAAGAAAGATCTATCATTTTGATATGAGACCAGCGTCATAGATGAATAATACATTTTAACTATTTCCTTATGTTTTACGTTGACTTGAAATACATTTTTATTCGGAATGTGTTCAAAGACCTTAGGCAACAATTATGTGGCCAGTTAAAAGTTTTACTTTACGGAAATGTTTAGGTCTTTAAACTACATAGATTTTTTTAGTGTGGATTTTGTTTCTTGGGCAGCGGATGCCCTTGATTGTGATTATCAGAATTGGAGTAGAGATTTAGTTCCGAATCATTTAAGGGATCGACAAGAGGTTTCCTGTCTTTTAAATGCATATTGGAAAGACATCCGTTCCAGATACACAGATTTTGGAGGAAAAATCAAAATGGTATATAAAGAAACTATACAGTAGGCCTACTGTATGCGCCATTAAAACACCAAAGCGAAAAAAACATTTTTGACAAAAACAAATGATAAAGGCCAGTGTATAATTCATAAGGAATTTACTTAAAACAGAATTAATTGCGGTGGTTGTTGACAATTTATAGATGCAATACCCACCTCTTGGGATTTAGAATCAGAAACATGAAAAGTTTGATAGGATTGTGATTGTTAAGTGTTTGGTTCCGAATCATTAATTTAATAGTCGATTTCATTGTATCAGTTGATGCGATGGGAAACACGTTTATGCTTTGAATACGATTATAAACTATAGTTTTCATTGTATATGTTGATATTTTAAGCAAAATGTTAGCTCCGACCTTTATACAAGCAGGAACACATGAAAACGGACATGCTCATAAGAGCGGTATTGTAGGTGTTTTTGTGATTTAAAGGGGATCGTCGGTATCTACACTGCCTGTACCATGGGTGAAATGCAAAGTTACTCACCGACTCTGCTTCGGCATAATTTTGATACTGAATTCACTGATAGTGATTTTATATCGGAAAAGGGAATATTTTTACTGCAGCACCCTTCTCTCAGAAATATGTGTCATCTGAGAAAAGATATCTCCAACTCGGATGAGGAATGGATTAAGGATTTTTTGCGTCATCATGGATTAGAGCTGTTATTTGAATGTTTGGATAACTTATCTCGGTATAAATCAGATTTGATTAACATTACTCTGCGTGTAGAATGTATTTTATGCATTAAGTCATGTTTAAATTCAAAACAAGGAATTCAATTCCTGATCGGAAGTGAAAATTACGCTCCCAAATTTGCAACAGGTAGTTAACAAAACCTTTTAAAATTATTATTGTTTCACAGGTACAAATTTTGGGGTACTTAAACCCCAAAGAAAAACCATATGCCAGCCCCTATTGTCTCGCTAACCCACATTGAGTTGTGTTATAAAGAAGCGGGTTCTACTTGATTGCAATGCAAATTAAGTTCCAATTAGAATTAATTATGGACATGTGAGGCAAACTGGTATTTTTCCAAGTCATTAGAACACTACTTTCTATTCATATAAGTATTAGCATTTTCATTGTCATAAATGAAATAAGGGAACCCATCTTTAACCATTTAAATTTTCTGAGTTTCTCATCAACACAGTTTGATGAGATTTCTAACACTGGGGGTTTCATTTCTATCAAATATTAATGACTATCATTTAATAGCTTTCTTTAACCATCATATTCAATGGGTTCAATAGTTCAACAATCTCCTTTAATTATAATAGGAAGTATCTTCAAACCATTCTTATTCTAGATTGAATAAAATAATGCTTATAACGCGAAAAATACACACCTGATGTTTTCTTAACTCTTGTTTGTTTCGGTGTCCGTGGAGCTTTATTTTTAAATTACATTTCAAACGTGAATATTTTATGAAATCATTGACCTAGATAATAAACATTATTTTTCACCTAATATTTCATATTGATATATTACCTTCTCATCAATCTGTTATATCAATATAATAGATTGCTTGTCAATATGGTTTTTTTTTAACACCCCCCCCCCCCTCCCCCCCATAATACATAAACCTTATCGATACAACAAAAATGCTGAGAAATTCTTAAAAATATAAATTATTGCACATTATTAAAATTGGTTATAATAACACCCACAGGTCCTTAAGGATTATAACACCAAACAGTACTATTTACAGTTTGTCATCCATGATTATTTGGGTAAGCTATGGAATTTGTCTCCTGTTGTCTGATTTCAAACGTACTTTATAAGCGAATTCACGCTTCCACTATCAAGAAGAGTCTATTAAGGCGAAAGTTTTTGTGCCCGTAATAAATGCCTTTTTTCTATTTTAGCCCTCGACACCACAAATATTATGGTTAAGAAACAAGTGTTTGAGCTGTTATCTGCATTATGTGTTTATTCTCAAGATGGATACAGATTAGCATTAGATGCTTTAGATACATTCAAGGTATATTATAATAACTCTTTAGATACATTCAAGGTATATTATAATAACTCTTTAGATATATTAAAGGTATATTATGATAACTCTTTCGATACATAGAAGGTATATTATAATAACTCTTTAGATATATTAAAGTTATATTATAATTTAGATACATTCAATGCATTGTATAAACGCAATGGATCATCCCATGTTTGCTATAAACGCTCATGAATTCAGAGGATGACACAGTCGCTCAAGATACATGTATCTCACAGACTATCTAGATACGTTCAAGGTATACCACAGACTATCTGGATACGTTCCAGGTATGCAACATACGCTCTGGATACGCTCAAGGTATGCCACAGACGCTCGGGATACATTGAATGTATCTCACAGACTATTTAGATAATTCAATGTATCTCTCAGACTAACTAGATACATGTACATTCAAGGTATGCCACAGACTATCTAGATAGGTTCAACGTATGCAACAGACTCTCTGAATACGTTCAAGGTATGCCACAGACTATCTGGATACGTTCAAGATATGCCACAGACTATCTGGATACGTTCAAGGTATGCCACAGACTCTCTGAATACGTTCAAGGTATGCAACAGACTCTCTGGATACGTTCAAGGTATGCCACAGACTATCTGAATACGTTCAAGGTATGCCACAGACTATCTGAATACGTTCAAGGTATGCAACAGACTCTCTGAATACGTTCAAGGTATGCAACAGACTATCTGGATACGTTCAAGGTATGCCACAGACTATCTGGATACGTTCAAGGTATGCCACAGACTATCTGGATACGTTCAAGGTATGCCACAGACGCTCTAGACACATTCAAGGCATGCCACGGACGTTCAGGATACATTACATTTGTCTCACAGACTATCACGATATATTCAAGGCATGTCACGGACTATCAAGATATTCTATAGCTCTTGATACATTCATGACACGTTAAACATGCAGAATTTACAGATATTGTCGGTGTTGTAATGTTCTCGACCCATCCATAGTGTTATATTGATAGATGTTTTAGACGCATTTATGGACACGTTGATTGCTTGTGTTTGCGTTTACTTGCTTCACAACCCCTTACTGCTAACCTTGGACCATAATTATGAGGTGGTAAACAGAAATCAATGTGGTAGAAACAAAGTCAGAAATTGTGAATATATTTGTTCCTGTTTTATTTCAAGACTTTCATTAGATTTGAGGCTCTGTGTATTACTGCTGATCTTACACATGGTCATAATATGTATGCATTATTTCAGACAATGAAAAAACAAAGATATAAGTTTAGTGTCATAGTGAACGAATTAAAGAATGCTGAATTAGTACCATATAAAACTACGTTGATGGCCTTTGTAAACTGTATCTTAGTTGGTACAGACGATTTACAAGAGAGAGTTTCAATTAGAAACCAGTTTATTGGTAAGTATAGGACCTAGGTGATTTAAAGATAGTCTTCTATAGCTCCCTGGGTATGAAGGACAATTAAAGGGATTGTAAAGAGGTTTTCTAAAAAATGTATGTGTATCGGTGACACTGAAATCATCAATTTGCATAATTCCTATTTTCAACTGCAATTTCACTTACAAGAAGTGTTTGATAACGTCACTAATCATGAAAAGAATCATGGTTAAAGCATATTTGCGATAAGTAACGCCATCAAATACTTAGTGTGAGTGGAACAGAAAAAATTTAGAAAACCTCTTTACAATCCCTTTAAGTAAGAGTATTCTTTCGATTTTCCCTGTTGCCGTAATTCCGAAATTTCCGATATTGCCGAAATGAGAGTGATGCAACCACAAGCTATAAGTGTCCTCAGTAAAAACAAAGGCCAGATATCCTGGTTTGAATCTACATAAAACTACAAATCAAACATTATTTCGGATGTGTCTGTCTGTGCTTGCGGTTATTTTTGTGTTATGTGCCATTAATAGACATTGGTATGAGTCGAATATTTAAAAATTGTCAAAGGAATTCTTTGAACGTTTGTTTATCTTACGATCACAAGCAGACAATATACCTGTACCCGAATTAAAAGATATGAAATAACGTTAAACATACATTCTGAATTCACCACAGGAAAAAATAAATGTCAGTTTTTTCCATAACAAAAGAATTCGCCGATTGATATATGATTATCTATTTTAAAAAACAGGTTTAAACTTTCTGGATATCATCAATACATTACGAGATGACGATAATGAAGATTTGGTTATACAATGTGATGTATTTGATGAAGAACGTCATGATGACGAAGAAGAAATAACCTCTATTGTGTCTTGTACCAATATTGATATCAATAATCCACAACAATTATTCAGTGGTATATTGCAAAAGGTATGCTTAATTCCTATCGCTCTCATAGGGAATCTGCGTGAAATTTGACTAATGTTTTCTTGTTCTATATCCAACTTTCAAAGTGTTGCAAAACTGTACTTGGGCCAACTGTACACCGTACTGTACTGTGAAGCTGATAATTCGAGAGTACAGATATATCGCTTTGTTAAACCAATGGCAAACTAAGCATGTTTCTAATGTATTTCTAAATTATGGACCCTTTGAAGGGTTTAAAATGTTTATTTTTGCAGAGGAAATCATTTCCAAACATCAAAAGAGATAACTATATCGATTTTTCATAATTTGTCATTATATAGGTATATAATACGCCTCAGGCCGATACATTCACAACAATACTACAGGCTTTACTTCATATTGATCCAGACGAATATATCAGGTAAATTAATTGATTTTATGACGTAGGTCGTGATTCATCCCATCAATGACACATTCTGTTACTAAATATAGTGAGACACGTCAGAGTAAGGAATTCCCAATGCCACGCTAGGTATGGTGTTATGTTTTTCTTTGACTCATTTCATTTTAAAACATCGAAGGACTCCGACCAATTTTTATCTCAGGTTTTCAATTCTAAGGTTAACATGCATCAGTTATTTTATATTTTACTTAGTGATACACAATGGACAGTGATGGAAAGTGCGGCCAGAAAGTGTTTTGTGCTCCATAAAGCAGTCCGGGACAGTGATGCAGTGCTAACAGACTCGAATAACAATAAGGCAATTCAGACAGATTTACCGTTCCTTGCGGAATCTCCGATTGTGAAATCTTCTGCTCACGAAGTGGAATCTCAGGAAATAATGTCAAAATCAAACAGTGTACAAACTGGATTAGCACCAAAGTTGAATTCAAAGAGTATAATGACAAAAGTATTACCAAAAGGAATTCAAGTGCTTCCTCCTTCGCCGCATTTGCCAAATTCTTCTAGCAATCAAATACCAAATGAAATACCAACACCTCATTTACCAAATGGTGTCTGTACTCCTGTCTCATGTGTACCACCACCTCCACCCGTCCCACATATTTCAAATGGAACATCTGTACCTGTTGCTCCTCCACCACCTCAATTACCGGGTGGTGGTTTTATTCCAGTTTCTTCCCCACCACCAGGATTACCAGGTGGTGTTCCTCCACCTCCACCACCACCAGCGTTACCAGGTGGTGTTCCTCCTCCCCCACCACCACCGGGATTACCAGGTGGTGTTCCTCCTCCCCCGCCACCACCGGGATTACCAGGTGGTGTTCCTCCTCCCCCACCACCACCGGGATTACCAGGCGGTGTTCCTCCACCACCTCCTCCGCCGGGGTTCCCTGGCATGGTGCCACCACCACCCCCACCTCCAGGTTGTGGACCACCAGGCGCTCCGCCACCACCCTTCATCGCAAGAGGCTCAGCACCACAGTTCAGGATGCCTCCATCAGGTCTACGAGGATTTGAAGTTCCTCGTCCAAAACATAAGATGAAGACATTCAATTGGGCTAAGCTATCGGCTCATGTTCTTAATTGTAAGTATACTTTATTTTGACTAAGTTAAAGAAGCTATAAGTCCTTCCAAGAAAATTACCATTACTACTGTAATAACTCTAAATTATCATTCTGTTATGTTTTTTGAGACACATAGACAGGTTTTATGCTCTGAACAGGCTTGTAGCTTAACAAAAATGTATCCGGCAGGTGTTAGGTGTGCCTGCTTGGCTGTACAAATGTATTTGAAGTCGAATAAAGAAATTTTTTCAAGTCACCAAGTTGATTCAACGTGTTAATTAAAACTTGTTCTACACTTAATGTGATAGGTATGCAACAGCAACGGTTAGCGATTAATATACTTTACTGGTCCTTCGCTATTTTCAGCTAATGATAATATCTGGAAAGATGTATTAAAAATGAAAGATAAGATACAAGTCAAATATGATAGATTAGAACAGTTATTCTGTCAGAAACAAGTTAAAACTGAAAGTAAAGAACAAACTAAAGCTAAACAACCATCAGAGGTAAGGACTGGTAATAAAATCATATAGTAGTTAAGCACCGGCAGAAACAATGGAACAATAATAATTATCAAGTATAGAAATACACGGATCAAAATTCTGGGATGTGGTCTGTAAACGCCATCTTCGCATCATAAAGAACAACACAAACATCCACTGATTCATGCCCAAAATGATAAATTTATGTCTTTGAGTCGGAAGTACGATTGAAAACGATTCAATAAAAGAGTATTCTTTCTATTTAAACGATTTGGCATCGGTTTTTAGAATATTCTCTTTGTAATGACGTTTTAATTATTCTTTATCCGAACCGAAAAACAAAACCCGAAATCCAAAACAAGATTTTACGAAACACTGTAAGTATTTCATACTGGAAAGTTGTATCAGGTGTCTAGAAGAGTAAGCATACTAGGGTGCCACACCCGTCATAGCTTCTCAACATACACAACACACATTACAAATAGGAACACACCAACTGGAGAAATAGCGACTTAACGACGAATTTGATAAGTTCAAGGGATGTAACTGATGAAATCTGGTCTTTTTTCTAAGATTAATCTGCTAGATATGAAGAGAAGTATGAATGTGAATATATTTTTAAAACAATTTAAACGACCAAACAGTGAAATTATAGAAATGGTAAAACAAGGTGATCCTGAAGTTATTGGCACTGAAAGACTCCTAGGTCTACAGAAAATAGTTCCTGAAACTGACGAGGTGAGTGCTGAATGTGTATCTGTCCCTAAAAAGGGACAAAGTCGTCTACATCTTTACTTTACCGCCAGGCAGAGCTCAGTTTCAGCTATCCATAGTACTTTAAGAATGATGGTCGGACACCTTAATCGTCTACAATTATATAAGAAACTTGATATTGTTTAACCTGTGTAATCAAGCTCCCTCGACTGATTCTGAATCTTAAGTATATACCTAGGCTACAACCTCAGAGGGAATGAATATTTTCTGCTTGTTTCTAGACATAGACGTACGTTGTTCTTGTTCATTATCAATTCATTGTGTCCAATCTATAGCCCTTTTCAGAACAACTTTTATTTTTTTTCAGATCACAATGCTGAAAGAATTCACAGGAGATAAAACTAAATTAGGCAATGCTGAAAAATTCTTCTTGGAAACGACCACATTACCATTTTATAAAACTCGTATTGATGGAATGCTATTGAAACAAGAGTTTGGTTTGAATATGGATTGTCTACATGATAATCTGACGGCTGTGATTAAAGCCTGTAAAGGTCTATTAGAAAATGATTCATTGAAAGATTTTCTACGATATGTTTTACATACTGGAAACTTCATGAACGCTGTAAGTACAATATATTCTATCTTTGAAAACAAATGCTGTGTTGTTAAAGTGGATACTACGTCATAATTTTTCAGTTGTTGTTAGAAATTTCACCGATGTGGTCTGCACTCATTATAAAGGGACAAATGTGACATTTTATTTGACCAATCATCCTTTTGTCTCAGAAACGGGAAGTTTTTAGCTGAGCTAACCAGTAATAGTGTTCACTGCTCACGGTCGAAATATGACTCCTCAAATCCATGTGTGTCCAGAATTAACCGCGTTTGAATATTAAAATGACGACTCGTCCTTTTTGAGACTATTTACTTAAAATCAATCCCCAAAATGGCGCATCTGTTCCTTAAATGAAAGTATTACTTTGTTTAAATGTAGAACCATATTAAGTTAGCGGTTAACAATTGAAACATATGAACCTCTATTTATTTACGTTCGTTGTCATAGAAGGTTGCAGCTGTGGTATATAAAAAGTCTTCATTTATTAGGAAACAGTAATACTTAATTACTAAAAATACACCCATGTCAAATACTTGACCGAGCAAGAATCATTTTCGTTTATTATAAATTAAGTCCGCATAGTACTAAAATAGAGGCCATGTTACTTGTAACCATGCATAAGGTCATTTCGTTTCTTGATAGTCCGCTTAGTAGTATAACTTGTATTCTTATCTGTACTGAATATACGTTAATTCAAAGAACTATATTTTTTCAGGGAGGCTATGCAGGTAATGCCCTGGGATTTAAAATTGGATCATTGAACAAATTAATGGATACCAGAGCTAACAAACCTCGTGTGACATTATTACATTATTTAACTGGTGATGCTGAGAAAGAACAAGGTCAAATCCTGTCATTTGTTGGTGAATTACTTAACCCTCTTACTGTAGCTTCCAAGTAAGTATTTATAGGTGTTGGTGTTAGCAATAGGTTTTTCGAATGCAAGCACATTGCCACGAATGCTAAACCACGCCTTACCCATGTGACCACTTGAATCATTCAGCTTGATCATTCATTATAATTTTGAATATTGGCATGTTTTGTAACTTCTGCTTATGACGTTTCTGATCTGGCCAGATTGTGCATTCAATTCCGCGGAAAATATTCAAATCTAATAGTATCTTTGACAGGGAAATCGTAATCTGGCTAGGTCTTTTTAGACTTACACTAAACTTACACGTCAGACGAAAAATTGGAATGGTGCAAATAGAAACATTTAAATAGCAGATAAAGGCTATAAACCTTATTTTATTCCAATATCAAAATACAAACATTGTCCCTACATATATGAACAATTTTAGTATCAGAAAGTATAGATATCTGTAACCATTGAATGATTATGCATTGGTGAAAACAGACACAAAAGATAACAAATATTATTATTATGTTAATTCAGGTTAACTGTTGACAACCTGACAAGCGAGAAGAAACTAGCATCCAATAATTTAAATACACTAGAAAAAGAAGTTAGTAAAGCTGATGACGATGTTAAACTACAGTTTAATGTATTTTTGCAGGTAAGCTGAAAATATACCTTCATAGCTTAAGACATTTTATATTTTGACAAAAAATATTGGTCAATATATTACATTTTGGATGGTTGGCAATGGACAACAAAAATAAAACAAGAACCTTAATTGTCAAATTACGCCATTTAACGCCCGGTTACCCCTTTATAGTGGTATTGGAACAGTCATGTTGAAGTGAAATAGTGGAATATATTTGTTTTCTCTGCTGACAGAGCTCAATTCCAGCTATCTGTCATACTTTTCAGTTTTAAAAACCATCATCCGTTTCTCTTCAACTAAATAAGCGGCACTTATTTTCCAGAAAGGCTTCAAAGAAATTCTAGAGGCTGAATCACAGTTGGAAGAAATAAACGGTTTATCAAATAAATTATCTGAATATTTCTGTGAACAAGAATCGAATTTTAAATTAGAAGATTGCTTGAATAATATGAGAATCTTCTGTGAAAAGATTCAACAGTGTCAAAAAGTAAGATTTTTTGTTATATATGGGGTGGGATAAAGTGGGACTCCTTAAAGGGTTTGAAATATAGCAGAAAGGGAAACTCACAGAAAATGTTTCAGAATTGTAATCCATGAAATGAAATGAATGGAGTTTTACGTTCTACTTTTCTGCAACACGTGGGCTAATGAAGACGGGTAATCCATGACTTGAAAAGATTCTGGTGGATTGTGACAATGCCAGGTTCCGAGATGATACTTATAATGTGTCTTCTGGTGATTTCAGGAAAACGTCCAAAGACAACAGCAAGAAGAACGTGCTATAAAGAGAAAGAAGGAACAAGAGGAATTACGAGCTAAGAGAGAAGGTAAGAATAGAAGGGAAACAACATATTCATTCTAGAAAATTACTCGAGAGGACTCCGACCAGTAATTCATTTGCAATTTGTTTACATGTTCAATCACGAAATTCAACCTTCTATAACTTTTTTCCAGAAATCTCGTGGAAAACTTCCCAAAATGTCACATGAAAGCCTGGCCAATACTTAGTTTCTGGACAAAAATTCAATATCTCTCAATATATCTGAAAGTAGACCACTAGGCTACATTTTATCAACATCCGCTTGATTGTCACTGCACACAAAACGACTATATTTTTAGAATTATCAGTCCGCATGAAAACCTTTGATCATCTCACAAAATCTGAAGGAAAATGCAATTTCTGACATCAAATTCCAAATCTAGACCAAAAATTAGTCCAAAATAGCCATGCAAAGATCCTAAAAGGCAGGGAAAAAGAGGATTTCACAAAAAAGGAACTACAATCAATCAATCATTTACATAAAAAGTTTTAGTGGTCTGAGTCCTATATCGAACTTGTTTTACGGGTGAATAACGCCTTCAAATGAAGCAAGGCGTTATTCTCAAAATCTAGATTTTAGGACTTATTGCGTGCAAGCTCCCAGGTGACCAGATAATATTGGTACCAGCAACTTTTGATCCTACAACGTGGTCTCACGTGTTTAAGACATCATTATAATCTCTTTGTTGGTCCAAGATATCTCTTTATATCCGAGGCAAATAACTCTGAGTAAACTAAGATCTGTCAAGACCTGAATAAATTGTTAAGGTGTTATTTCAATTATTTGCTATCTTATTTAATTTATATAATTAGTATAATTTGGTGTATTTTCAGCCTCTGGTAAGAAAGAAGTAGTATCAGATAATGAAGACTGTATCATTGATAAACTGTTGTCTGATATAAAGAAAGGCTATAAGTTGAAGAAAACGCAACCACAGAAGAAAAAGCTTCAAGAACAGACCAAAGTTCCTGTAGCGGCAGTGTAATCAAAGGCTGTGATATGGTGCTTTCAAGATTGTGGGACTATTTAGAATTTCCATTCAACTAGTCCGAAACATCTGTCTCTATTGCAGCCTCTTATAATTATATATTGTGACAATTGCCGACAAATTTCATAATAGCTATTAGAGGGTGAAATAGAGGCAAATGTTTCGGTCTACCACTCAAACAATTTCAAACACCAACTCGGCTTGTGGTTTAAAAGCCTGTGATGGTTTTCAAGTTTGTGGTTTGGTTCAGGATTGCCAGAAACCAATGGCAACTCGACTTTTTCTTAGTGTAGTTTGGAATACTTAGGTTGTGGTTATGAACCAAAGTCAAATTCGGGTTGTAATTTAGAGTGTAATTTCCACTTTTCACAAAAAAATCCCAAAAATCTAAATTTAGTGGCATAATTACCAAATTAAAAAAAATGTTAACTTATGGTATGAATCAGTAAGGTTTTAAACATAGCCAAAGGAAGTACGAAACAAATATTTTACAAGGATGCTAACTCATTTAAGGATCCTTTGGTCGGAACAATGATAAGCAGTGGCGTTGCCGCTCCCCCCTTGGTCCCCTCAACACTGTTAATAAACCACACAAAAATATTAGTTTTGCTATGTCCTTTAACAAAATCCAAAGTATTCCTTTTAGTGAGTTCTAGCCACAAGCCTTTATCCTTTCAAGATCAGTGTTAAAGTTTGCTTTTTTCAATTGAATAAAGTATGTATCCAATTTTTTAATATTGAAAAGTGCTCGAATATACGTAATATTTAGATAATCCAATACATAATTTTTACATATGTAGTTTATCTAGTCATTAGTATTTGTATGTAGGTTATTTAGTACTGGCTATATTAATTTATCATAGCATAAGTAAAGGGTGATAATCAAATATATAGACCATAAAATATATCTCGTCAAAAATCAAAATATTTAAATGTTAAATTTGGTGATGGTCACATAGTTTTATTGAACATTTTTGAAATAAAAATCAAGAACATTGAACATTTTTTTTTTAAATCGCAATTTGCCCTTTTTTTCAATATACGTATCATTTAAATTCATTCTGTATATGGCTGTGATTTTCTACTGCTTATCGGAATTGATTTTTTCTTTGCTATGATATTCATTCAAAATATAAGTCGACAATATCTGCATAATTGAAATGTAGTAAGGGTGCAATTCCTATGTGGAAGTGTAAAGAAATACTTTTACATGTTGAAGTTAACATGGATAAAAAGGCGATTGCAATAATGGGGATAAAATGAAAAAAATTTTACAGTTTATTCAAATATATTCAGGTTTGATATCTTGTGATATTAATTATATGATTTACCAAGTATTTGTTTTTTAAGATTGAATTCCATCAATACCGAGCCTACTGAACATTTACGGGCAATCTAGACCATGTTTGGGCGAATTTAGTCGTAACTTACATAAAATTTGTGAAACGCTTATTATTTATGTATATACCAAAAGACATGTGTGAGAGGAGTTAGATGTCTAGAGATATATAACAGCCTATAATAAGCTTATTATCACATTTAAAAAAATCCTCTTTTTATCGATAAAACCCATCAAAACCAAGTCATAGTCATAATTGGGTCGGATTTGGGGTGTTTTCGTTTTTGGGCAAAATGTTATTGGTGTTATTAATGCACAAACAAAAACTTGAAAATCTCGTTTGGTTTACGTGAACTAAAAAGTATAGATACCTATATAAGAAATCATCGTTTAAAATACTTACATATATCATTGTGGCATTGGAAATTAATTACGCTTTGCTTAAATAAATTTTGTAAATAAAACAGCAATGCAATTTCGAAAAGGTGCTTATTTTTGTAAAGCGTTAAAAGTGCTTATGTGTCTTTCTTATACTTATTCAGTGGCGGAGCCAAAGGGTGGGGGGAGGGGGGTAGAGGGAGCAGCCGCCCCCTCACAGACCCGAAACCAATTTTTTTTACGTTTTTGGTTAGAAATTCCGGCAATCTCAGATATTTCGCCTCTCGGACGTAAACCTGGCTCCGCCATTAGCCTGTGTAGCATGTTGAGTGCTCTTCACTCCAGGTATTCCTAAACGTAGTACTAAAGCGTACCTAATTAGAATGGATGTTTACCTGAACAGGATGATGTTCAAAAATGTGTCAATGGGTTGGAAACGTCATCTATGTCGGAATCCACTACCACTTTCCTTACCCGGGTCATACATTTCTGGTAGATAAGGGCATATACTTACAAATGATTCGACGATTCTCGTTTGCTTGTAAACATAATTGACACATTTTCAGAGTTTGTTTCTCCGGGGAGTGGTTGAACGAGGTCTTCCGATATGTTGGTCTAGTTTCCAAACGCATACATTGAACTTCTTTGTTTGGGATATGTCAGTCTAGAATGATGACACGGTGCAGTAACGTTGTTTAACATTTTTGGGAAGTGCAGGGTTTATCAATCAATTTCTTTATTCGGGGAGACAACTCATCTTCTATAACGACTTCCCCATGATGTATAAGACCACAATTGGGCGTCAGGAGATTATCATTTACAAAGGCAACGAGTCGATGAAATAGATCCTCAGGCATGTTCTAATTTTGTCACAAATATCTAGAAACTGGGCACTCAAATTGAGCACGAAAAGATTGCCAAATTGGTGTTATAATAACAGCTTCAGGATAATTGAGCTTCTGGTGATAACAGGATAAAAAATACCAATTTGTGCTTAAGTTCTTAGGCAAATTACGTTTTGGGCTGCAGTTTGACCACCTTCTTTATTGGTTAAGCCTCTCTCAGTGGTATACCTCGTTTCCTTTGTCCATGTTGCATCAGCATCTAAAAACGGGCGAAATTCTCGTAGAGAGATAAAATATATGTCAAATTCAGCTTCCAGAATCTCTCTTTTGGAACAAGGACAGTTTATGTTAGAACGAGGAAAAACAAATTAATAAGAAATGGCCCGCTTTAAATCCGGATCAACAGAAGTCTATTTTCAGAAAACGTGGTGCACGGAACTTGTTCACAGTAATACGGGCTCAAGGTATTGTATTTCGGGGTAGGGAGGGTTTGATTCTCCCAAATGTACAGACGTAGGATGTAATAAATACTTCATTAAGAAAATGGAATTAACGGTCATAGAATGCTGGGAAATTTCCCATTTTCCCAATGGACGAGAGGTTAGATTGTTATATACATTGGGCTTTAGTTTGCTATGTAAAAGGTTGTCATTTAAGTTCTGGTTTTTTGAATAGGCATCAATAACTTTTTGTTTATAGACATAGGGGAATTTCTCTAGCAGACTCTTATAGTGGGCATAGACTATCTTACTTGCTCAATTGCTAGTGGTATTGAACAAAGGGTGCTATGCCTGTATGTGATGAATATTCAGTCCCATCGGTCTAGCTGTATTTAGCGTCTCAATCCAATAGGCTTCCCTAGCTTGACGGAATTTAGTAGTTTAATCTTCTGGCAGGTCATTTATTATGCGCTCAATAGGAGTTAGGATAAGATCATCTGATGAATGGTCTTCCAAGTTAAAATGCTTAGAAATTGATTTAATTTGATTTCTGATCTTTACCGAGTGTGTAAAATATTTTTAGATTCTCCTATATATTGTTTGGGATATTTCTCACATTAAATTAAGTTAACTAAATTCGAGGTTTCACAGGTTAGATGCTCTTGGATAGGATACCTTTTCTTAGTGAAATTACTCATGAAGTGACTTTCGGATATAAAGGGACACGTTTTGCATCTATTTGACTGGGCACACCTTCAGCATAGAGGTGTTTCGACATAATGTCTGTTTTTAGCTGCTATCTTTACTAAGGTGAAATTTTCAATGTTTCGTAAAAATCGCTTAGAATACCCACGCTCTCTTAGTTTCGAGGAAACAATCGTACAGGCTTGATTAAAATCTGTGCAAATTCGATGACATCGTAAAACCTGCGACTTAATTATACCAGAAAAAGTATGCGTTGGGTGAAATGAGCTCTTGTGCAGGAGTTGGTGAGTATCAGTTTCCTTAAAATATACCAAGTTTATTCGTTTCTGCCAAGGAGACTCCTTTGTAAACAGTGCGGTATCTAAAATATCTATACTATGCTCTTATGACTAACGTTGGCAGTATGTTTAATGGATGGATGATGATTATTTCAAAGAGTTACCAAAACTGCTCTATCGAGTATGAAAATATCAAGAAAGCGACCAAAAAACAATGGGTCAAATTGAAAAAGATAAAACCCCACGTTCCCACTCTGTCATGAAAAGGTTTGCTTATGAATTTGCTGTCCATTGCAGTCCCCCAAGTTTGCAGATATGTTTTACTGTTAAATGTAAAATCATTGCGACTAGGGCGCTGGAGCTGTAGAATTTCTTTATCGGGTCTGTTTGGGTCAGGGTTTCTTTCCAACACTTTACGGACTGTCATTAACCTTGTAGTATTATCGATATAAGTATACATAGAAAACACGTCGATCGAAATCAAGATTGCAAAATATTGACAAAATCAGTTGTGTCCTCAAGGTAGGCTCGGTGTTGGCATGTTAGTGGCAGTAAGAAGTGGTCAATGCATTCTGACACTGTATATGACTCACTATCATATATAATATAATCGGACGACCTTTCGGGAACCGGTTATAGATAAACCACTCTTTGGCAGGATTTTTAAGGATCTTAGGCAAAGTATATATTATAAATGTCTCTGACGACAATCAGTTTTGGCAGAAAGGTAGTCATATTGCTTTTGTCTAAGATAACTTGATTAGACCAAATTGCGAAGAATTGAACATTCGTTGAGAATAGCTCTTGCAATATTGGATAATGCTTAAGATTATTCAGTTGATGCTCAGCCTCTGAAATATAATCCTCACGATTCAAAATGACACAACATGAACCTTTATCACTTTTTTGATAACTATTGTATCGTCTTGTGAGATTGGCTGTTAATAAAAAGGCAGCATGGGGTCTGGATGGAGATATACGCCTTGGTTGGTGTTGGCGCTGGGCTTGTTCGTCTTAAGTATGCGCAAAAGGAAGAGAGAATGGCAATGGTTTGATCATCTGGAGACTGGAGAAGACTGTGAAGGCGTAAATGGCGAATCTGAAAGGGAAAAGTTTAGAGTGTGCCCTCTCTGTGTGAGCGTTTTCCTGTATCCGGTGGACTTGGACTAGGTTAACTACGTGCTCGTTTCGGGGTCTGTTTAGAACTAAAGATCTCCATCCATATCGGTAAAGATATGGGAACTGTTGGTTTCATTGATGTTTTGGTGGCATTTGGTAATAACAGACTGGAGTTTCCATAGGAGCGACGGGCCCAAGGCAGGGCATAGGAAACGATGCGATCGACTAAGGTGATGATAATGACTTTGTACGGATGGTGGCGAGCTTCTCCCGTAGAGTGGTTTGGAAGTGGTCGATCAGAACCTGCGTCAGCTTAGAGGGCCATGTCTGGTTAAGGGATCTGATATTCTCGTCGACAGCTGAGGTTTTCTTTGCTGGACGGATACAACTATTCAACTCAGAGTTTGAAGGTGAACGCAGGTTGACCTTCCTTCAGGAAGTAAGAAATGCTAAGTGGTTGATGTACTGCGTCGTCGGTTATCTCTTGGTGGGTAGGCTGGGTTATTATCGTTGGGTCGGCGATGTGGTGGGACATAAGTTGCTGAATTGCTAGGCTGTCGGTGATTCGTATGTGGTAAGGCTCGATGGAATAATGTTAGCATTAGAGTGGAGATCAAGGAATGCAAGAATGCCAAATGTTGGCGTGTGGAATAAGTTGAAACTTCAAGTGAAAATGCACAAATATATATATTTTAAGTAACAAAACTAACAATAATATAAAAAAAAATATAAAAGCAAAGCAAAAACTTACATATGAGATACATACGCCTTCGATATGATAATCTTCAACAGGTGTGATGATTTTATTACTGACCAAAACACCTTGTGCCGTATTACCGTGACCATAATACCTTCTTCCCGTATTACTTGGAACATAATACCTTGTGGCCGTATTACTGTGAACATATTTCCGGTGACCACATAGATACATGACTTAATCTGCATAGTTATTAACCTGTGCTACAAGTTCATGTCGTTTTTATGAACCAGTGTTGTGTTTCTGAGAACAGTGCTGTTTTGTGATAAATGTTCCTGACATCCAAGAAATTATTAGTCTCAGAAACGGGATTTTCTTTTATCTAAGCTAATCAGTAATAGTGTTCATAGCTCATCGTCGAAATTTGAGCCTTCAAATCCATGTGTGTCCAGCATTATTCCGGTTTGAATGTTAGGAATTTTTTCTTGACACTGCAATATATATAAAAGGCATGTACATAAGCAGAAAATGAAATATCTAATTGAATATGTTATGAAGGAATTATGCGATTTTGTACATTTCAAGTACTTCTGAAGACTATTTACATATACTCAAGACCCATGTCAACCCCCAAAATGTCCCATTATATTTCCCTTTTCCTTAATAATATACTGTATTGATATTGTTACATATGGCTACATTTGACTGTTATCACGATTGACTGTTTAAACTCCATATTTTCTCATCCACTTCATTGTTATTACTTATAAACTTGCTGATACCACATAAAAGGAAGATTTCATAAGAATAGACAACTTCATGAGAGTATTGCTATTTTCCCCTCGTCATAGACGAATTAATTCTAGCTATCTGAACCCAAGCCCCATCCCTATAAACATCAGTTTTACTTTTCTGAATGAAAATACTCATGTAAGAAAGATAAGAACATCTGATCTTCGTATGTTTAGTAACTCACTTGAACGTAGAAACCCACAGAAGGCAATTAAACATGCACATA